GTTTCCATGGCTACAGCGAGGACTGCTTCTGCAGGCAGCGCATGAAAATGGATTCACTCAAATTTGGTGACAAATGACCTATTATCGTCTTTTCAAATGAGTTCTCGGACTGTGTCTGGAGCTGCTTTCTGGAACGGGAGGCCTCCTGCTGAAGGTTTTCCCCTTTTGGTTGTTAGAACTTGGCTCTAGTTACTCCCTTTAGCATCATATGCTATCACATAATCCATGTAAATGACTGATGGTCTTATTCCTTTTAGAGCTAGACTCTGGTGTTAAATTCTGGCTAAGCTCACAGATTCTTTTTCTCTATGATACAGTAGATCCACGTCTTCAAGGTCAACACACACACACACTTTCTCATCACATTCCAGTGAAATCTGCATGAATTAGGAGCTGCCTGCTCATGTCAGAGCTAACTGGCCAATAACATTCGGTTGAGTCCAGCCCTCCTTTTCGAAAGGGGCCCAGCCCAGAAGATAAATGTCCATCACACCCGGATTTCAGGGCTCCTTGCCAACTGAGATCCTCCGGGAGCTTTGTCTGTTAGAGCCCAGCTGATATACTCTGATTGTGACCAATAAATGTCATATTTGTACTCTTTATCTACTCTGGTTTATCCTCAGGCCTCCAACCAAAGAATGGGGCTAACATGGGCTAACAGATCCTGAAAGGCTCCATCCTAAATGGATCCTAAAGGCTCCGTTCGCTGGCATGTTTGACCCAGAGCTCCTCGTGAACGGTTTTAATGTGTCGATCAGCCGAACGGGCCGACTCACAGCGAGTGTGAGCGGAAAAGCAGCCGCCCTAAAACCCCCATTGATTTAGAGCAGAGAGACAGACGAGTGGAAACCACCAAAAAAGGCAGCAAATGTGTAAACAGAGGAAAACGAGGCGGGCAGCATCGACTGGCTGGAAGATGAGGGCAGGCAAAAGGCAACAGCTGCCTGGAAGCTATTGATCGCTCCACACTTGCGTTGTTAAATGATCCCAAAGCTCTGACACACGTTTTCCAAGGAGGTTTCAACCCAACCAGGTGGAGCTCCGGCTCAGGGGAGCTGAATGCTCGTCTGGGTCTGGGGGACTTTTCCCAAAGTCATCCCAGATCCAGAGGCCATTTTAAGCTGGTGTCTGGGAGTCTGGGAGTCCACAGAACAAAGGCAAAGATCCATTTTGGGACAGAAGATTTGTCTCCTTTTGCTTTAGATAAAATATTTGAAATACAATACAATGTCCCTTTAAAAAAAAATGAGGAGAATGTAAAAAAAAACCCGTCTAAATCTTCACATAAAATGCCGTTTGGTGCGTCTGTTTTTGTCCCACTGGGTTTCCTCCTCCCCCCTACTGGGAGTACAATATTTGGGAATTAGATGATTTTCCTCTGCTATCAGTAGATCTGTGAACCGGATCTTTGTGGACCCTCATATGTCTCCAGCGGCGTCTGTTTATTTCCCATCCTCAGTGTAACAAATGGCCGTTTTCAGCCCCGTATCCCTCACATTCTGGATGTCGGTGACGCGTGTCGGCTCTCTCTCTGCTTTGTGTTTCTTAGCTTTACGAAAGTCTGCGTTCCGGGTCTCAAAAAGCTGTTGCGGTGCCTGGTGGCAGAGCGGGGGGGGCGGGGGGGGCGAGGCCGGCTGGCATCAGGCGGCTGTGACAGCAACTGTCTGCTTTTCATTGTCTCCGAGTCGCGCCATTGGCCGCCCTGATTGGAGCTTAAAGAGGAGGCTGATGGAGGCCGGCGGAGGAAAACAAAGAGAGGAGACGGCTCAGAGGGGGGAAAAGTGTCTGTACCCGAACCCGAGACGCCGGTTAATGGTGGAAACCGGAGCC